GAATCTCGAGCCCGCACCCCAAATTAGGCTTAGATTCTTCTACATCTATTCTCATTGGTTCAGTAAGGGTTGCCATGACACACGACATCACGCGGCTCACGCTTGGACGCGATTATAACAGCCTGCTCTGCACCCACGTTAGCTTTGCTTGCCTTTAGAGCCGTCTTACTACAGATACACAAAGGTTTTCAAAGACAAACCTTCATTCATCACGAACAGCCGCTCGTCTACTACTCTCGTGATCGCAGCTACTACCCTTCTACTGCAGGAAGAAGCGCTTCTCGAACACGCGCAATCTACATAGGTATTAACAATTGCCATCTTTCGGCGCCCGAACATGACTACCCAGTCCGCACTCGACCACAGTAGGACTATCCATACAACGGTCGAGAATATACAAGCTGATCTTTCAGGCGATCCTACTACTCACCGACCAATCGCCGCTGATCCTCCAAGATCGCGTGATCATAACGAGACGCCTGTCACTTCAGACCTCGAATGTTCACGGGACATCATTACCAATTCTCCTCGCGCTGATCAAGGCGAGCGGGATTTGGCAGAGTTTCAAGCGCTCGTAGAGGAGAACCGTCGGGTTATCGCGTCAGTAAATACAGAAGGGTCCAGTACAAGGGCCTCACCTCCACATTCCGGTGTGATCTTCGGCTTCTCCTCAACTATACTTAATCGCGGGTGCACAGATTCACCTTCTCTCATCGCAAAAGAAGCCAAAGACGCGTCTCATTTGTCCTGGAAATCTGCGGAAGCTACTAGAGCCCAGAAAGAGAGTCTACTCTACAAGGCAGACGAGGAGTATAAGTCTGTCGAAGCTGATCAAATTCCAGCCACTGGCGAGCGAAACAGCCTAAAGCGCAAGAGGGATTGTCTCGAGGTGGAAGTCAAGGTGGCAACACTCCAGGAGAAGAGCTATAGAGAGCTCTACAGGGAGCTCGATTATCTCTCCTACCAGGTTCAATCCCAGGGCCCGGGTCAGGATGCGCAATTTCCCTCGGCTTTGACCGGCAAGTTCACCCCGGCCGAGATCAATGCTCGCAGCGACGTCTACCGTATTGAGAAACGTCGGCGCACTCAACGTCGCCGAACTCAACTCCCTTAGCAGCTTGCATTGGCCGTATCGCATACGTATCTTGGACATACTGGCTGTATATCCGCTACATTCTCGGTTCGTCTGCATTCTATGTCTCAGTATTCACTGCGATTACAAGAGTTTGCCACGCACTTCGAGAATCTGATGCTTCCCAATCTGGTCACGTCAGCTTCTGCGGATGTGTACCCCTCAAGGGTCGGTTTCATTCTCTTCTGTAGTGTTGGGCAAAGCTTCAAGCTAATTCATGGCGCTCGGCTTGCTATTTTTGTCTATTGGCTCTAGACTCTGGAAACTCTGTACATTACACACGGCTTACGTTAGAGCCCCCTTTCTAGCATTTCTTAAACTTCAGCGAAACGAAAAGGTGTGCATAGCTGTAAGGTAGTGCCGTGAGACTTCACCACAAATGAAACGTGTACTTAAAGTCCGATAGCCCATACAGTGACCCGCCAATGCCTTCGATCAATCCATTATACCCTCCGAACAGTCGCATAGCCGCTAACGAACTTGTGCATTTTCAATTTGACCATCGCATTCTACCCCTTCGTCATAACACCACCGCCATTAGCTCCAATGACCTGACCAGTAACCCATCCAGCCTCGGGCATACACAGTAACCCAACAACCCCAGCGACCTCCTCCAGATACGCCGGTCTTCCACCCAAATCCTTTGCCGCCGCAATCGTCTCCTCCGAATCGATACCTTCTCTCGTCGCAGCCAAAGGCGCCATGTAGTTCAGCGACCAGGCTCTCTCCAACATCTCCTTCGGGAGGCTTGTATACATGCCAGTAGCTATCGCACCTGGATTGATGGCGTTGACTGTGCAGCGTTCGGCGAGTTCGCGAGCCCAGACCCTTGTCATTGCTTCAAGAGCGCCTTTGGTGCCGGCGTAGCAAGACTGCCACCAGAAACCCATCGAGGTCGTAATACTGGAGACGTTGATCACGCGACCGGATCTGTCGTTCGGGAGATATGGTAGCGCAGCCTGTAATACGAATAGTGGAGCGCGCGCATTTAGGTTGAAGGTGGCTTCGAAGTCGGATAGTGTGACTGAGCCCATCGGCGCTGGGTTGACGACTGCCGCATTGTTTACAAGTATGTCGATCTGGAACTTGTTGGTGTTGCTGAAAGCCGATTTCGCCGCATCGATGAGTTGATCCGGGCCGTCGGGTGTAGTAACATCAACTTTTGCTACTAATGTCTTGATAGAGTAATTGGCTTCTAGCTCTTCAGCTAAGGCGGTTGCATTGTCTGTTGAAGATTCCGAAGTGTAGTTGATGACGATGTTCGCTCCCTTGGAAGCCAGATGGCGTGCCAAAGCAGCCCCAAGGCCTTTTGAAGCTCAATCAGCGTCTTCTCTTCATTGGGGTCACGGAAGGAGGGACATACATACCGCGGGATGCACCAGTGATGATTGCTAACTTGTTCTCCAAAGGTCTCGTCATGGCCAATGTTGGTGCTAGATTGAGACAGCACAGTCGCCGCCTAGTTGCCCACTCTAGTCGAACGTAACCTACTTGATATTTTATGCCCGCGTGTATGCCAACAAATCTTGCATTGACACCAATAGTTTGGCGATTACTCCATCCCGGGTGCTGCATGTGATAATGATCCTTCGCGTAGGCGGAAGAACATGGGTATGTCCCGCGGGTGGAGATAGGCTTGGCTAGATCGGCGGAGAAGAAGGGATACATGCAACTGGCCCGCCTCACCTTCTTGATACTTTGGATTTCGAACTGCGAGCTGCTATGTCTCTTGTGATTTGAGCAAACTTTCACGTCCTTACAGCCCCTCTGGTCAAACTTGTATATCATTTCATTTTGACTGGTCCTCCCATCGAAGCATCCATCATGAGGCTGCAAAACCGAGTCGCGATAGTGACGGGCTCGTCCCAAGGTATCGGGCGAGAGATCTGTCATCAGTTCTTCGTTGAGGGAGCCTTGCTCGTATGCGCTGATCTTAGACCTGTTGGAAAGGGCGAAGACACTGCTACACACGAATGGATCATCAGCAAAGGCGGACGGGCCGTTTTCGTTGAGACCGATGTCAGTGTAGCCACCAGCTGGAAAGCACTTGTTGCGCGAGCAGTGGATGTATATGGTCGACTTGATATGTAAGTATCCGTCCAGCTGTCATGGCTACGATCAAATAGGAGAAGTAACTGATATTGTGGCCCTAAAAGAGTGGTCAACAACGCAGGCATCTGCACAGAGGCCAGCAACCCACAACCCATCGATCAAGTCGACGAAGATATGTTTGACGCGCACATGCGTATCAACACCCGAGGCGTTTTCCTTGGTTGCAAATATGCTGTTCGTCAATTCAAGGCACAAGCGCCGCACTCCAATGGTATGCGCGGCTGGATCGTGAACCTCGCTTCGATGGTATCCAACATCGGTATGCAGGGCCTCAGTAAGTTGGTCCACGCAAGAACATACGATGATTTTGCTTTTGGCGTTGGGCTTACACGTTCCAGCTGGGTATACGGCGTCCAAGGGTGCTGTGGCTTCGATGACGCGAACCATTGCGCTGGATGTTGCGAAAGAAGGCATAGTCGCCAATTGCATTGCTCCTGGATGTAAGTCACCCTTTTCAGTATCGCATGGGCCACTCTAATGTCTTTTGCCAGTTTCGCAAACTGCAATGCTCGAGGATGCGCTTGGTGGGGCCTTGTCGTCTGCAGCGGACGCGGTCAAAGCCTCTATTCCTCGCGGCAAATTCGGCCACCCCCACGATCACGCAAGGGCCGCGGTTTATCTCGCTAGCGATGATGCGCAGTGGGTCACCGGACAGGTGTTGAATATTGATGGTGGCTTAACAGCACAATGAGTCTTGCAAAATTTGTTGTGCATCGGGTCGCACGTCCAATCAGGTGGTCTTACAGATAGCCTGCAAGTACTGCCTCCGGAAACGTCTGGACTTCTTGTTAGCTCTCAGAATTGAAGTCTGTCTAGAACATGAGAGCTCTCGCATATACTGTAACTCCGCACCGGTTGTGGTTGTGCCTGCATGGCATGCAATGTGCCGGCAGCGGGCGAATTTCAAGGACATCGCGCTACAGCCCGTTTTGGCCGCTCTTCCGCCTTCCCCGCCCGGAGTATCTGTGCGCCAGGCTCCCCTCTCAAGCTTCCCTCCCAGTATTGACCAGCCACTGCCTTCCATGCCCTCTTCTCATCTAGTCACTCGTTTTGCCATCAAAGATTCTCTCGGTTCGTTGACCTCCCGTAGCACATACTGCATCCTTGGCGGGCGTGGCAAGCGACGTGGGGCCGACAGCGGCGCATGGACTCGGAAATATCATGACCATGCCGCATCCTCGCATGTCACATGCGCAAAGCGCGGTTCATTGGTAGCACTGACTGCTCGACCTTGTCACATTCACATCAGGCCCTGTCGTTAGACTTGAATTTCGCTGCAAGGCGCTACTTTAGGAGGAGGATGCAACCTTGGCAGGATCATTGCCTCAGCACGAGGGATTACCAACATTCAGAGGCAAGATCTTGTCTCAGGTTCCGAAGAGAATGTGCGTGAAGCTCAAGATGGTAGCAGTATTGTTCATCTTCCTGGACATCTCTCGTCAAGGGATCCATGAAAGGGGACACTCACGAAGCACGGGTGCTTTCCTACTGTCAGCACATAAAGTAGTCATGGGGAAGGAGAGGAGACTTCATCGAGCATTATGCCTAGTCCTACCTCCCCCTCGCTGGCATTGGCCGTCCTTGTTTTGCTTCCTTTCGATATCATCACTTGGGCGCTTCGTTTTCATGTCCGACTTTCTCGAAAAGCATGGGGTCCGGATGACTGGTCTATGGTAGCTGCAATTGTACGGACACCTCAAGTTCTACCAATATCACATTTGCTTATAAAGAACAGCCACTTTTCATCATCTCAACGATGGGTATGCTTGGAATCGCCTTCACAGGAGGTGGAAAGAGGGACGACGAACTTACAGTCAACGAGAAGCAGACAGCTATGTTTGTAAGTCAAGCCGCGTTCGCACAAAGTCAATCTTGCTCACTATATACAGTGGTGGTCAGTTCTGCCGTATCACAGACTGCAAGCTCGACAATAATTGACTTCGTACAGGTTCATCATGCAAACCATGTTCTGCCTTGCCGCCATCCCCGTCAAATGGGCCATTTGTTTCACCTTACTCCGCATCGCCAATGGCAAAAAGGCATATGAGTGGTCAATATATGCTATTATGGCGGCAGTCGCGTGTGTCATGGCCTCGACGACTATATACGAGTTCTTCCATTGCACTCCGATTGCGATGAACTGGAAGGCTGTAGAGGGCGGCACCTGCAAAGCGCAAAGCAACATTACTGGATTCAGTTTTGCGCTTTCTGCGGTTTCAATCTTCTCGGATTGGTTTTGCGCAATTATGTGAGTTCTACTGAAGTATTCACTTGTGTCTTGACTGATCGTGGCATAGTCCCATTCCACTCCTTTGGAACGTCCAGATCGATCTCCGCGTCAAGATATCTATCATCGCCCTCCTCGGCCTCGGTGTATTCGCATCAACAGCAGCCATCGTTCGCCTCACCGTAACACTCAACCTCAGCGCGACAACAGACTTCCTCTACTACGCTATGCCCGTAGCTGCATGGGCGCATGCTGAGCTTGGGCTTGGCGTTGTTCTTGCAAACCTTTCGGCCTTGCGTCCCCTTCTCGAGAAGATGCTCGACCTTGGCTCGACATTGCGCAGCAGCAAGAAGCGTACCGGCGATCAGGCGTCTGGTGATGCATACATGGAGCTTGAGGAGGGTATCGGCAGTAAAAAGAGGACAACGTTGTCGAAGAGGCTGAGCGGGCGAACGGGAATCAAAGCAGCTGCTGGTGTTGGAGAAGATCTGGATGGTACCTCATCTCTAGGTGACGATGATAGGTCTACGCGCAACATCATGAGCCAACACGGGCCGCATAACATACAGATAGACCATGAGTATGAGGTCAGCTACGAAAAAACGAAAGGTCATTGAACAAGACTAGCGGCTGGACACATGGAATGAGGCAGAGAAAACTTAGAGCCAATAATTGAGCGTCCGATGTATGGTGAGCTGTAGCACATGACCATACACGCTAGCATATTAGAATCAGCTGCCTTTCATTGATGAATTCTTGCGTTCGTCGCCAGCCTGTGAAGATTGTAGATAAACAGCACTTGGATCTAGAGCTCATGGATCGTCGCACAATAGATCCCTGTCGCTGATGCATGGCTGATTAGCCACGCCAGCGACTGGTGTCAATGTCCCAACAGTCACGAAACGATATGCATGATACCCTGGCTTAGAACACATATCAAAACCCTTACATATATTGCCCATTACTCGACAGATGCTACAATCGCTGGTCCGAGCGTTCAGCACAAGCACAAAGCTTGTAAGAGGCGAAGCCATTCTTGTGGACAGCTTCCATGTACAATCTCCTTCGCCGAGAACGGAAGTCCCTTGAAATGGGCTTACATGCCAAGACCACTGCGCTTGCGGGTCAATGTTCCTGGAAGGATGCTGCATGCGCTACTGCATCCCGCTGTCTAGGACTTTTGGCGATCAAGATATCGACTGTGCGAGAGGAGAAGCTATGGCAGTCTAAGGTAAGCCCATAGCTATGCTGATCTGGACACTAACCTGTTTTCGTACAGCTCTTGGTCCTAGATACACTGACAGTCATTTTCATTTCCATCTTAACATCCCACGCCTTCTTCTCTCACCCCAAGGCAGTGTCCTCGTTGAACAAGATGTCTCACCTTGACAGCAACAGTACTCCACCAGACATCTCGTCCGAGAAGCACATTCCAAAATCCAGCACATCTCCCATTTCCCTCAATCCTGAAGAAGCGGACCGACTACGATCCGAGGCCCTTTCGACTGATGTCTCCAAGCTACAAAATGGTTACTTCCTCAGTGCAAGAATCGTGGGCTCGTTCTCCGGAACTGGAATCGTCGTACTTGCGACGTATTTCCAGTTCCAAGCCTTAGCTGCTGCGATATCTTCCGTCAACGCCGACATCGGGCCAAGCGCCAACGTTGCCCTCGTCAGTACGGTATGGACCGTGTCGCAGCCTATCTCTCTCTTGCTGTTTGGCCGACTCAGCGATCGCTTTGGGCGCCGCAACTTTGCCTTGGGTTCCTGCGTGCTTGCGATCATTGGTGGTATCGTCGCGGCCACAGCGCAATCTATCGAGACGTTGATCGGAGCTGAAGTTATCATGGGCATCGCATCTGGAGTGCCAGCAGCCTATCCACTTTTGGCTGGTGAGCTCGTGAGTAACAGGTACAAATATGTTGGTACTGCTCTAGTCGTCGTGCCAAATGTAATCGCAACGGGCTTTGGGGCATACATCGGCCTGCGATTGGTTCAGGTCGCTGATTGGCGATGGATCTTCTACATATACATTATGATGATGGGTGAGTCAGCATTCATCACGACATCTTGACTTGCTAATCATCATCACAGTCCCCGGCGCTGTGTTGTGGTTCTTCTTCTACCATCCGCCTTCCTATACCCAGCTTCACGGCAAGAAGTCCAGCAAGATCGCCGAACTTAAGAAGGTCGACTGGACAGGGGTCACCCTTTTGGTAGCTGGTCTGGCTCTTTTCCTGCTTGGCATCTGTTGGGGCGGCCCTGCACAGCCGTGGTCATCTCCAAGGATCCTCGGTCTTTTGCTCTCGGGTGCAGTGGCCATCATCGCGTTCATCCTCTACGAGGTCTTCCTACCGCCGGTGCAACCGATCGTTCCAATGCGCTTCTTCCGCGACATACGTGGGTTCACCTGTCTGGAAGTCATTTCCGCGACTTACGGTGTCATCAATATCGCGCTTTTTGTCATGTGGCCACAACAGGTTGTCTATATCTTTGGCTCCACTGTTAGTTCCTGGGAAGAGACCGCATGGCTTTCAACAACAGCTGCATTCGGTCTTTGGGGCGGAATAGTCATTCTCGGTCCTCTTATGTCGTGGATTGGCCACATCAGATACCAGATCTTGGTGTCTTCGATCTGGATGACCGCTTTCCTTGGTGCAATGGCCAGCATCACGGTGGAAAACAAAGCTCGTGCGATTGCCTTTTCGTTTCTGGCGGGTTGGACTATTGGGTGGGGCGAGGTCATCGCAGCGATTGTCGTACAGTATGTAGTCTCGGACCAAGACCTCGGTGTTGCGTTCTGTAAGTCTTCCGTTTACAATCTCGCCAAAGTGTCATTGCTGACCGGCGATAGCTGTGATCTCGGCATCCCGCACTATCTTCGGTTCCATCTTCACGGCCGCATTCATCGCAGTGTATACGAACAAAGTGCCGGGCTACCTTGCATCGATAGTACCGCAACGCGTTTTAGCAGATGGACTACCGGAAAGCTCCTTGAGTGCGCTAATGGCAGCTGCCGCAACCGCCAACCAGACAGCTCTTCTCGAAATCGATGGTATGACACCGGAGCTGCTCCGCACCACCAACATAGCTATCAGCGATGCTTACTCCAGATCGTACGCTTACGTATACTACTTTGCTGTCGCTATCGGGATGCTTGCAATCGTCGCGTCACTGTGTATGCGCGATTTCGATGGGTATCTTACTGGTCATGTCTCTAGACAGCTGTACCGCAAGAGAGACACCAGCACTGACCCATTAGAAGCTATCACGCAGGTAGCTGGTCAAGACCCAGTTCACGATAGCGACGGTGCCACGAAGGCCTGATATGGTCTCTCGATATGATGGCCTGGACTTGGAGAAGATATTCGGGGATGCGCAAGCTGAGAGCGTCCGGTTTCATGCATTTGAATGCCTTGGCGTGTCGCTATTCACCTTGCGGACATCCCGGAATTGCGATTCGACCGAGGGGTATACGAATGAGTTACGTAGACACTTAGCACGAAAACAGCTGTAGTCCATGTGAAAATAGTTTCGAGATTAATCAGTTTTCGGACGAAGCGCAAGGCATGGTGCAAATACGCTCGTAAGATAGGGAAGTTTGGGACTCCTTTCCCTCTGATGGATGTGCCAAGCCGCTAACCGTTCTGGGATCAGACGCGCTTTTTCATGACGTGATCGAAATTGCACACATCGCGCTCATCCGCACCACCACCATCTTCGACGTGGAACTCGGGGAAACGTGCATACATTCAAGTGTTCATTACCAACAGTATAGTGATTCTTATCCAACGGGTTGTTGTATCCTGCGTGTCCAGTCGTCGATCCGCCGCCGTTTCTTTCCCTCTGCGCAGTCGCTGAAGCTCCAGTACGGCTCCGTGTGCCAGGACTTACTTTTCGATGCCGGCTTCAGCACAGAGTCTTGCATTTCTGATATCTCTCTGCGGGGCTCAACGACGGCACTCGGCATGAGGTCTTCTCCTGAGCTCGAGACGTCGTCATATCCCTCTGCTGCCCGTTTCCACTTCTCTGCCATGTGCAGTAGGTACCCCAAAGGCCGCAGGTTGGGTTTGGAGCTCGCGTCAATGGCATTGATCCATTCCTGGACGGCGTCTTGGTCAAGACACTGCTTCTTGACTGCTGCGTATTCCTCAAGATCGTATGGGAAGTTTGGTTCCCTGTCATCGTCCGAGCCTATGATGGAGACTGCTGCTTCTGCTGCAGCTACCAACTGAGCTTCATGGGCCGCTTCTGCACGTGTCACCGCTTCAGCAAGCTTGCTTCCGGCGCGCACATAGTCGCGGCTGAACTCTTCCTCTATGAGGCGATCGGGTGCATCCGGTCGGTCGGCAGCAGCAGCAACGCGTGCCGCGAGAAGTCCTCGTCGGAAAGTGTTACGATGTTCGTCGTGTTGTCTTTGAGCCTCGTGCTTCTCTCTCCGAGCTTTGGCCTCTCTCACGATAGCAATGGCCTGACCAACGCTCAACTCTCCCGCCTTTGCTGCTTTCGTCGTGGCTTCATTCTCGCCAGGCAGGGGTTTAGAATCCTTCTTTTCATCGAAGCGTGACACGATGGGAGGCTTACTTGCCACCCTCATCCCTTCAACCCTCTGCGCGACGGGAGGAACACTCACCGCCTTATCATCCTCAAACAGCCCGCACCGGACAAAGATATCCTGCAAATTCTTCTCTACTACCACTGCAACACCTTCCCATGCTTTACGGGCAAGCTCAATGTCGCGCGATAGAGTTTTCTTTTTCTGCTCAATCTTTTCCATCTTCTGGTTGATTTCATGCGCTTCTCGGTGCAAGCGCTCAGCCGTAGGACTTTCCTGTGGAGTCGGCGTTCGGCCTCCACTGAGCTTCGGCAATCCTTGCAAACGATGCTCGACGGACTTTTGCGACAGCCTGCTCATTCTCAATTCCTGGTCCAGTTTCGGTATGGATAAGTCTTTTTCGCGCCGGTATTTGAGGCCGGTTGAGATCTGGTTTTGGATCATCGTGGCCAGCTTGTATGGAACCTTCATCAACATTACAGGCGGGCTGCTGTCCACCTCCTCAGTCTTAGCCCTCTTCAAGATGAACATCTCGGCAGCTTCGTTGGCGCACAGCTGCTCGATGTCTACCATGCTCTCCATGATCGCACTTTCTGGGCCTTCCAGAGGTGAACCTCGGATAGAATTGTCATGCGTTTCTGTATCGTTGTTAGCCATTAGAATGTTCAACTTCCGACGTCTTTCATACCTTTTTCCAACGACGAAGACAATTTTCTCCGGTCTTGATATATATCTGGAGGCGGTTCTCCGGTCGTTCTTCTTTTCTTTGTTCGCATGTTTTGTGTGACGCCTTTGCTGCCCTGCTTAGCTGCACATCTTTCGCTATTATCGCCATTATTGTCGTCGTCACATTCGAGCGCTCGTTTTCTGGTCTTTTCAGTCTTATCTGCTTCATACTGAGGGACTTCTTCGAAGTGATCATTAATGTTGGCCATGATGGAGGGGCTACGTCTGAGGCGAAGGGAAGACCAGGTGTTTGAGACTGTAGATGTAAGCGAGAACGATGCACTCCTTTGTACAGTTTTACATTGTGGTCAAAGCTTGTCTTCTATACATGAGTCCTAGGTCTCCAGTGTCTTGCGGCTTCGCTTCCGTAAGTCGCGAGTAGATACTGTCTCAACACATGATGCCGCGGATCGACATCAACAAAAGGACCCGATCATTGGAACGGTTTTCGATGACGTTAGGCGACCAGGTACCTTTCGGCCCATTACATTGCCGATGTGTTCGCCACCCTATTCACTCAGTCTGAATGGTGTTGAGTGAATGGCATATGTTGATTCGCTATGCAGCAAGTAGCAATGTGATTGCAGCGACGTTGCACGTTCACAGAGCACGATCTGCTTCACTGAGCCAGAATATGTGCATCGCAATGTTCACGGACCATTGCATGCAACTATAAATGTGAACACACTTGCGGTGTTACCCACGAAGAACCCCCCTGCATCCACACCGGTTAGACCTGTGACTACAGCCCAACTCAACCACGGAAGTCGTTTTCGGATCTTCGCGGCTTTAGCATCTGAACACGCATATCGACGACAGATATGGCAAGAACAAACGCGGGGCCTCGGCCTAGTAGAGGCAGACGCGCTACCTGGTCACCTTATGCCAGACGTGCCCGTAGCGAAGCCGACATGGACAGACTGTTATGGCGAGCAATACCTCCTGGCTTCGATGGCCCAATCATTGACGAATTCCCCGGTGAGCGGAGTGAGGCGGTCTATCTTGTTAAAGCTTCGAACACCAAGCACTTTCGGCTCCTCTCACAAGCGGAGATTGACCGGCTCAAGCTAGGTGACTTGTTTCGAGCCGTAGTCCACGAAGCAACCACATCTCCTCGTGAAATCGGAGAAAAAGGAATGACACCCACCATCTTTGGCCAAGCGGTACCCAAAGATCGATTTTTTGTCCTCGTAAAGAAACACCGAAAGCACGGGGTGTTCATACCTGTGACATCCCGAGAGTTGCAGGGGCTAGAAGGTCTTGATGAGGCAGAACGATATGCTTACATCGGTTTTCGAAAGGAAGGGGAGGTCTTTGACCGCAATAAGCTTACTGAAAAAGACCCCCAGTACCTAGCGAAGTGGGATCCGCTTATGCTTGCCGAAGAGGACTTAGATCCCTTCTCGTTTGCGAACCTCTCTTACCCAACGTCATTGTATTGGTCCAGCAACCTCCTGCGTGAAGGCTGCCTGACGGACCTCAGTACACAGCGGGTGCTTGAGCTGTTCGAAGAGATCGACCAGGTCACTCCAGAACAAGATCTTTCATCTGGAATGGAAGAGCTGAAGGATCAAGAAAATGCGTTTATATTCCAGCTTCATGAGTCCACTGCTAGCGGCGAAGAGGATCCAGACCGGCCAAAAGGTACTGCAAACGAGCAAATCGCCGCCTACAGCGCACGACATCGTGACGTCGAATCTGTTTTGAAACCTCTAAAAGAAGTCGAAGATAAGATATTCCAGGCCGTGGACGATAGCACCATCAACGCCGCCAAGGCAGAGAACAACGTGCGAAGAAAACGGTTCGAGTACCACAACGCGCTTCAAGCTGGTGACATCGGTACACTGGCACTAGAATTGTACCAAAAGGAGATCGAAGAAGCCAAGATCGATCGTGACGAGAAGCAGAAGATCAAGGATGATATGGTGGCATTAGCTGAGGAGATGGAGCGGAAGCCCGAACTGAGGCCTCGTATCCCGGCTGGCGCGGAAATCACGGAGGGGCGGATGACTATCATTAATGACGCTATGCGATCGCTTCAGGACCGTATGGATAGCATTTCTAAGCAGATGTAAGTTGACTGGGTCGACCTACACGTATGGATAGGCATTGCAGCATGTCTTTACAGCGCATGATATAATATGTTCCTCAGTTCTTCATTAACTTGCCCCCTCGATACAGTAACGCCGTGAACTGAACATCACTCTAAGCTATGCATCATGGGCCAAAAAATGTATGATGTGATCTTGAAATGAACATGATATGGTATTGGGTATTATCGCACCAAACAACTAACTCCAAAGCGCCTCGCTTCTATGCTATCGCAAGTCCTCATACACGCGTCAAGTTCGCTCCCTCAAAAGCATCATACCAGCCCTTCATTTCCCACCGCCTCGTCAACAGCCATTGCTTCGTCTTGGCATTCTCATAGATATACGGTTGTTTCCACCACTTCTCGTGCACGCTGACCAGCCCCTTGGCGATATCCACGTCGTTTGGACAACGGATGTTCCAAGTGTATGCGATCTCCCGCCACGGCATCGGCCCGTCCCAACGATGTGCGAAGTTCATGAGGTTTTGTTCGGGGTATCGGGGGTCGAAGGAGTTGGGTGTGTTGAGGAGTTCTTTGTAGTAGTTGAACGCGTCGAGCGAGGGTGCGAGGATGAAGAAGCCTGCGTTCATCTTGCCGGCTTTCTTTAGGCCGGTGCCGTGACCGGGTGGGAAGGAATGGGTCGAGTCCCAGACTTCGGAGTTGGATGCGAGGAGGTAGGTGGAGGGTAGGTTCGTTTCGTTCGTGGGCTTGGTGGCAAGGAGCTGGGCGCCTGGGTCGTCGAACACGCCGTCGAGGTTCTTGAGCAGCATCGAGTCGCCGTCCATCACCAGGATGCGGTCGTACTGTGTCATTTCCCAGACGCGTAGCTTCGTCATAACGTCGTCCCATCGGTGCAGCTCGGCGTGGACCCAGCTGTCGTTTTCGGTGTGCAGAAATTCGACAGCGTGGACGATGGCACCATCCTTAGCTAGGCGATCGCGCCGGGCCTGAGAAACGCTGGGGGTGACCATGACGACGACATCGTGCTTCGTACGAGTCTCCTCTTTGTGTACGAGCTGCCAGACGAGAATGCGGATAGCTTGGAAGTACTTGTCCTCCTCCAGATCATCGCCCGCATCAACGGTTCCGGAGAGAAACGTGACGTATGCTAGTCTCTCCTCTCTGTCGAGGGTAATGTTGGCGTTGACATAGGGCGGTGGTTGCGGTATCGGCTCCTTCTTTTCTTCTGATTTGGCGGCGCTGTCGCTTTTGTGACTTTTAAACTCCGGAATAGAAATGTGGTCGAACGCGCGCGTTTCCACGGCGAGAAAAACAAATGTCGACACGATCACAAACGTCCCCAGCGCGATCCGGATCCATCGAGGGCTTGCAAAGATATTCCAAGAGCCGGAAGGCTTCATCCAGTTGGGCTTCGACCCAGACATGGACGCCATGGTGCTGGAGCAAGAGAACGACTGAACACAAGCTTACCGGCAGGCAGCGACGCCCGCCGTATTTCAACCTCATCCCTTTCCACGCCGGTCCCGTAAGCCCAGCCGCATCCGGTTGGACAGCATATTATGCGAGGGGGCAAACCCGTCGAAAGGTAGGCAGCCTACCATGAGTCGCGGACACCCCGGCATATCTTGCGCTGTCCAGACCCTTGCGAACGCTGACAGGCTTGACAAGCAAAGCTTGGCGAGAATGCGATAGTTTGATTAGCTGCTAAGCATGCAGCGGAGATGATCGCCCCCGCCCCCTTGTCGGCGCAGTAAGACCAGCTCAGCCCTGTACGTCTGGGGACTTGCCCGTCGAGTATCGTGAACATAACGGGCCGAACGCTGACCTAACCAAGACTGCACAAGCAGAGTAGCCTCGGTGGAATGCGCAAATATTTCCTCCTTGGATGCGCCCTTGGAGGCCTTGTATAACCGTCCGAAAATGAAGAAATTGATGCGAGGCTCGTATCGCGTTTGATCTTTCGCTCGTTTGCCCAGAATAGCCGGGCTAGCACCACTCGCGCCACGCCTACTTAGGTACAATCCGCTATTTCGGGGCGCCTAACGACGCCAAATTAAAAACGCAAAGCTTACGGTCTGGAAACTTACAGCAAGACATGCTGTCGCAGTAACAGAAAACTTCTCATGCGCAGTCCGATCGTTCTTCGGAATGTTTCGATCAAACCTTGGAACTATCCGGCACCGACGGAACCATAGTACAGGTACACGAGGTGACTAATCTGGTAGGAGCACAGGCATGTGCATGCCTAGAAGGAGCAAGGTCTAATAAGATTATACGCATTTCTTTCTCGAAAAGTCTGACGGGATCGTCGGTGTAGGGCCGTTGCAGGCAGAGTAACCAAGACGGTGATTTCGGCCAGATTTCGCCTGTGTCGCGCCGTGCTGCGGTATTGAACCTGGTCAATCTTCTAATCCGCTGGTAAGATTGCTGAATAATCGGTGGAATACCGTTGGGGGTTCTAGTGTAGGACATACTAGGCGCACCGTCACGGCAGCGCACCGCTTCAACACCATATCACGGCGAGTGTCTGATTGTACAGATATCTGGGTATCGTTTCATCTCCTGCCATGCCTCACGAGAACGGTGTATGATCTCGCCTTGACCGCTGACGGACGGCGCAGCCACGTCGGTTACGCAAGCTACACGTTGTAGAGGTATGCCTGACCGGCGTTTACGCGGTATGCAGAAGCTTTCCAAGCCCTTGGGAAGAGTGCATCCATCATGCACAGGTCGAGCAATCCCTCAGTTTGAACAGCTTTCGCACGACGCTACTTCCTGATGGCCTTGTGCTCTTCAGTCGAGATCATTCGAGGGCTGTCGCGGGTACCTGTACCGGGTCTCTCTTAACGAGGTAAGACTTTGCGTAGGATGCAACGCGGCAGAAGCAAACATTGTACCTCAATGGAGCTCAACCGCCGTGTTCGTCGCATCTAGATTGGGGGGCGGAATCCCCTGGCGTTCTTGGAAACCCCGAAGTCAAACATCAAACGTATTTCTTCCCCCATTGTGAGCCCCTCCGTTGAGTTTGAGGCGTGGTAGCAGCCCCATCACTCATCACAGCGGCATCAGATCGTTCGCCCTACACTTACATCTGACTGCAGCCAATGAGACGCAGATGCATGCGTGTGACGTGGTATATCGCCGGGTCCGCGGAGCTGTATGATGCAGTCAATACAAAGCTGCAGGCCTAGGAAGATAAGGAGGCGAAGCAACCTCAAATCCTTCCGGGCGAAGTACAGGATGCAGACTAGGTACTCAAACACAGCACGTGTTTCAGCTTGATCGCAACATGCAACCTAACTCGTCAGCCTGAATTTTACCGTCATTCGTAGAATCGGGTGAGATCAGTGGAGGCTGTGTACCTGTCGTCGTCGGCAAGGCGCCTGCATGCCAAGACCTCGCCTAGCTTCCCGCCTTCCTTCGAAACTGGCTGGACTCAAGACTTGGGCACAACAGCCTTAGCGGCCTCAGCAAAACGCGCCCTGAGTGATGTTCACGACCAGTCGCTCCGCCATCAGTTTCGCAATCGCAGCTGCATCACTGAAATGCTGGAGAACGTACCGGCCAACGGTTTGCGTCGACGTCGCACCTTCCCCTCGAGTCTGCCTCGGCAGTTATGAGTCTCGCGTATCGACAGACACGAGCACGACCAACGCAATGCTTATTCATCCCTCGCCCCACGATGTCACGTGCAAGGAGGCCAAATGCAGTCTTACCAACTTCATTAAAGAGAAAGAGCCTACAATTACTTCGGAAGTCTTCGAGCCACTTAAAGCTGAAGAGATGAAGTGAATAGATGGCGACATAGGTCTGTCGCTTTCCGATAATCCACGTCCTTCACCTCGTTCAATCAAAACCTGTCGTCATCAAAGATGGACACTCACAATCTATTCAAGTACTAAGGAAAACCGCTAGACGCCACCCGACGAGAAGTTCGGTTACTACATCTCCACCCTTCAAGCACTGATCGCACAACAGCCACACTGGGCGTGAAGGATCTCGCAAGTGCGGTCGGAGCTTTTGCATGCGTCTCTTATGTATGGGGTGATCCCAACAAGACGGTGCCGATCGAATTAGACGACCAGGAAGTACTCAATCACATGGATGGGAAGATCATGCGGAATGGGGAGGGGACCAAGGAGATCGTTCTCATTTAAAACGGCTACGACCGACAAGACGAGAGGGCGAAGAAGATCCAACGACATGAACTGCTGAGCCCAGAAATAAAGTGCGTCCCACGCATTCTCAACTTTGGAACACCCGACTAAAAATTGAAGGCCTGAGTACCAGAGTTGTTGATCACACCAGCTTGCATACCAACCCTGGAATCATGGTTGTTGAATGTTGGCGACTTGTGATCCTATTGGGAACATCAGCGTTGGCTCACCATCTGCACTGACAAAGAGCGACTAACCTCCGATTCAGAGGCTTCGACGATTGCTTCTTCAAGTTCTTTGTCTTCTAATGCTGCGACATCCTTCAGGGCAAGACGAGCATCACTGGACTTGATCTCAGACACTTCCGACCTGCACAGCCGCCGCCGTTCTTCGTGCGCCGCAGGAAACAATTGCACAAGATCCTTGACAAGGTTGGCTATATCTTGGATCAACTCGTTGAATTGTTTCTTCTCATACAATGCCCACTTTGCCTTTCTTGTCAGAGGCGTTTTGTTTTGGCGATTGATAGACAGGGTGCGCATCTGCGCGACTAGCGACTGACCCACAGGATCCATGTCAGTAGCTGAGTCCAGAGTCGCGAGGCTTTGATCAGCTTCTCCCGTGCGGTTGGTGTATTTGGCTGAGACCCTCTCAGCTTCTGCAAAGAGCCCCAGTATCTGTTTCAGCACCTTATTGGCTGCGGTCACGTCCTCTGGTGGTGCAGTTGCTAGCATGACGTTGGAGGCGTTCTTGATGTCGCCACTCAGCCCAACAGCCTGTCCCCAACGCGAGACTCGCAGTCTCTCATTTCCCAGCCTTATCAAACTGGTTTGGAAGTCGTTACCGAAAGCACGACCAAGTTGGACGTACTCAAAGCAATCGACAGCGTTGTTGAAAGTGGTAGCAAGGGCAACAATGCCGACAGCAAGACTGGCTGGTTCCATATTGAGAGATAGCGAAACGATGCTGGAAATTGAAGAGGAATGAACGTCGAGATTGAACAAAAAAGGATGTCGAGAAAAGGAAGATCTCGTGGATCAGAACAACGCGGCGACACACGAGTTCTTATCGCTGCTCACGCACAAGGCTGAACCACTATTTTTGGCCGACTGCAGCATAATCCAAGCCACCTGAAGTCTGCGTCGTCGAGCGCCTCGGCTGTGCGATCGGTACAATATCTTCACCAGGCTGAGATATGACCGTCCCTTTTCTCTACACTACCCTTACCTTTTTCTGACATGAATCACTTCCTACCCGCTACTATAGCCTTTTGCTTAGGGGCTGCTACTGCTACTATAAGGACATACCCATATCGAAAGCCTGATGCTGGCCTGAATCGACAGCCTGATGCTAACAGAACTCGGCGGCCTGGCGTTGGCCCTGGCAGACGACGAACATCTTCACTGGTTTTAATCAACACATACCCACAGCATGTTGCTGGTATGACTCCGCAGCCTATTGCTAGTACAACTCCGCAGCCCGATGCTGGCACGACCCGACAGTCTCCTGACTTCAACAATGAGCGTACGACAGTCGCCCTCCAAACGGGGAACTTCAACAATTCTGGCACTTTGATTGTACAGTATGCAAGACCGTTTCGCATCGATAGCCGTACCTGTTGTCACTAACATGGCTGTAGTCAAGCGATTCAAGCCCTGGCCGCTGAGCTCAGGGCGAAGCTGCCATCTGCCACCAACGCGCCGTTCGATCCGCATGCGCCTATCTGCCATCGCCGTACACGAATCGCCCTCTTGAGTCAGATATACAGTTGGATTGATGGAAATGATGAACGACACGTATTCTGGCTGAACGGCCAAGTTGGTACTGGGAAATCGACGATTGCGCGCACCGTGGCTCGTAGGCACCTTGACCTGGGGAATCTAGCGGCTAGTTTCTTCTTTAGCAGCGGCGGCGGAGAATCGAGTCGTGCAGACAAATTTGCAACGACAATCGCTCTCCAGCTTGCGCAAAATAGTCCAGTATGCCGCAGGCATATATATGAGATCATCAAGGAGTATCCTGAAGTCTTGAACCTTCAGTTGCAGGAGCAGTGGGAGCGCCTTGTGCTGCCTGCGTTGTCCCGTGTAGACACCGCCACCATGCTTGTAGTCGTCGTCGATGCGCTTGACGAATGCGACAATGAGGAGGACATTCGGAAACTTATTGGATTGTTGGTCGAAGCTCAAAAACAAACCGGGCCAAGCCTCCGCATCTTTTTGACAAGCACGCCTGAAGTATCGATACGATGCAGCTTTAAGAATGTATCGCAATCATTGCATCGAAGCTCCGTGCTGCATCATGTGGATTCTTGCACAGTCGATGCCGACATAAAGATCTACTTGGAAGACGAGCTCCGCAGAATTGGTGGAGAACAGGGCCTACCCGCTGACTGGCCCAGTTCCGAAGCGGTCAACAAGATGGTGCACAGGGCGGGCGGTCTTTTCATCTACGCTGCCACAACTCTCCAATATATCAAAAACGGGTACGCCTTTACGCCTCAAAGGTTAAATTCGATCGTCAACAACGGCGGTGGAGATGTACAGAGCGGACTCGACGCACATCTCGACAAAATCTATTCCACTGTTCTGCAGAAGTCACTTCGGCCCAATTGGTCGCAGGATGAAAAGAACGAGCATTGCGAGGCGCTAAAACTCATTCTCGGGACTCTCGTGGTACTTGAATCACCCCTTACTGTACAATCTCTGGATGCACTGCTGAAGAGTCCAATGGAAAGCATCGAACCGTTGATGAAAGGTATCAGGCCCTCACTGGATGATCTGCATGCTATCATCGATGTGCCAGCTGATATACCAGCCGATTGGACGCAATCTGTGCGTCTTCATCATCGTTCGTTCAATGACTTTTTGCTCGATCGCAATCGATGTACAGATAAGAAATTCTTGGTAGACGGTGCTCAGGCAAACTATATAGTGACAAAACAGTGCTTGGAGATAATGAGGCGATTCTTTCAACAAGATGAATGGTTAAACGGGACAACAAGATCAAAGATGAGCGACAGAGTGTTCGCGAAAGGGATTTGCCCTCTAGAGATGGAGTACGCATGTCACAACTGGGTCCGACACCTGCAACGCAGCGGAAGCCATTTTCCTGGTGAAATGCAAACTCACGAAAAGCAAGCTCGCATTTTTCTCGACGAGCATGCCATCAACTGGGCAATAATGCTCACTCGTTGGGACAAAGGCCTGAGGCGCGATGTCGATATCTATGAACTCGAACAACAGATGAATGTAAGTCCCCTAAACGCAAGATCTTGGATCAAGCACTGAATGAATTCAGTCAGGCCCCAAAGCCCGCTTCTACCATGTCCTTCTTCGGGAAAATGCCGTTGGTCGTCAGGAAATTGATCACCTAATTTTCTCTGTATATCGTCGTGCGCTTCAGGCGATACCTGCTCCTATTCGTATACCCAAAGTCACCTTATTACGCACAACAAGTCAATACAGGATTGTATGAAATACATATTATGTGTTCCCAGAGTATCGTATTGCCGCGTCATTCACCAGACCAAGAATCTCAAAGCAAGTTCGGGACAAATGAGAGTGGAAAGCTGAATCAATCACAGATTCTAACATTTTGATATCCAGACTAGCTGAGAAGATATATGCCCAACCACCGGTGGATGGCAGTAGGGTATCGTAGACCAAAAAAAGCAAATACTCAAACAAAACAAGACAGAGCTCGCAAAAAAGCGCAACACAGACCAGACAAACTGTCGCCAAAAGTGATAAAGATATGCCTCCGACTCCCCTTCCACATTATGCATATGCCCGCGATATCGTCGTTCATGACCGTACCGCTTCATTTCCGTTCGTGATCCACTATCTCCTCGCATCACTCTCCCTCCGATTACTAGGCGCAATACTGCTCCCTCTCCTCATGCGATCACTAGGCGCAATGCTACTCGCCGCAATACTAACAACATCGCTCATGGAATCCTGATCGCGCTGGTAACTATACTGCATACCCGAGTCGGGGCCTTTGAAGCCGTTGTCCCAAGCCGAGATGCGCGAAAGAAGCCTACACACCCAAATTAAAACGATTCTTTTTTGCACAACAGCGAGATACGCAATGTGCGATGTGGATGTAGATGTTGGTGTGCCCTTACCGATCGTCTGGCGGACCGTAGTATTCTTCTGGGATGAGCTCGTAGTCGCCTTCGACGGGGAGGTAGAAGGCGGAGACGGCGATGGCGACGGAGGTGAGGAAGAGGATGGTCCAGCTGGCGGTGCAGAGGGTCCAGGAGAGGTCGAGGTGCCAGCCGGACCAGAAGCGCTCGTCGTGGTCGAAGAGGAAGGCCTGGGCGTGTGACTGTTAGCATGCTTTGCTTCTGCGATGGGCATGGGACCCTGCAGGAAGCAGGGAAAACGCGGGGAAAGACACGTACCACTATGGCCATGCCGGCGCACTGGACGATGGCGCTGAAGGAAAGGACGCCAACGGCGACCTGCCAGCCTGCGGCCCGGCGCTGGACACCGCCGGAGATGATGACGATGAAGGAGACGATGGCGCAGAGCTCGACGACGACGCCGAACGAGGTCAGGAAACCGACTGTCCGCCACATGTTGCAGAAGGACGGGTCCTTTGTGCAGTCGCTCATCTTGGGGAAGGGGACACAGGTGCCCGTGACGGCGGAGCAGCGACTGTGGAGGCCGTACGAGTATTCGCGCTTGCCGTCGGGGCTGTAGCTGACCCATCGCGGCATCGAGATACTGGCGATGGTCATAATGGTGCCTGCGCAGTCAGTTTCATTTTCCTTTGTAGCGGCATTATCATCGTCTCTTACAGGCCAAAGTGAGGATGAGCCCCACGCCGTATACAATTCTTCGCGTCATGGTGGATGTGTAATTACTGTCTCAGCGGGTGGTGAGAAGTTTCGCCCCGAGTCTTGTGTCGAATCGAGGCGGTGGCGCAAAGGGAGGAGTTGCGGGGTTTATGATGCGGCGGGATGCGCGATTAGGTATGAGGCGTGCAGTTGCAGCGTGCGTGCAGGACGGAGAGGCTCTAACTCTAGGCGGCGGTTGAGTACAAAGGGTGGGTTGGCAGGCGCGACCGAGCGAATAGATAAACAGTCGCCAGGTGACTGAGGGCAGGCGCAGGTGCGGGGAGGACGGATTCAGCCGGGGCTACACGGGGTCAGAGCGACACCATGATATGGGTGCGAGTTGGCTGATGGGTGGGTGTGAAAAACGCTGCTCTCCCGTCTGGAATCGCGCTAGGAGGGGGAGGATCGTGGTATGGCGAGGCGTGTGCTCCATGACGACAGGGGCGCTTGGACGCCTTTCCCCACGCGCCCCTAGCTTCACTTCACCGCTAGGACTTTTCCTCGACACCACCTACTGATAGCGCATAGCGCGTTGTGGGTATAGCCAGTGTCACGGTGTTCACATTCTCATTTCACGTATATACGTTATACGACATGTCCCCTTCACCAAGCGAGCGCGAAGGATTCAGCGACTTGAATGGCGCAAACACTGCATCGCATTTCGGAAAAGCGGTGTCAAATCCCATGTTGAGCTTTGCGCCATGCTCCGATCGCCGATCATGTCGTGATGGACATGGCATGATCCTAGGCTCTGCTACTTCCTTGAAACTTAAACTTTTGACAAGTCTTGTGAACTTCCCAGTATCCTCCAACTCCGAATCTTTGCGTGTCACAGGTACGAGGCATTTTTGGATGGGATGATGGGCTGGCAGTTGCATACACTGATAAGGATCTGGTCACGCACACCAGCCACACCACCGATCAGCGTCAGCCCACCGGTATGCGAACTGTAGCGAACACGTGGGGCCGATGCGATATTGGAATGGTAAATCGCGGTACCAGCTGGACGCGAGTACAGCAATGGTCATTTGAAATTTGCCTCACCGCTTTAAGCCTCACGATTAATGTCGCTATAAAGCTATTCTTGCTGGGCTAGGGAGG